TGAGCGGCGGGGAGGGCCGGCAGGGCTGCGCCTGTGGCCGCGGTGCGGAGGACTGGGAGGTGCGGGAGTTTTTTGGGGAGGCCCTCCCTCGGCGGGTGCATGGCGCATCGCTGGCTGCCCTGGGCGGAGACCTCCGCTCCGGCCAGCCAGCGATGCGCTCCGCAGCCCCCGGCCTGATTTGGAGATGCGGGGAGCTGCTGAGGGTGCCCCGGAGCAGCGGAGCCTGGTGAGACCTTTCCTAACACACATTTCCCCTCCAAATTCTTGTATCTGGCGGGTGGGTGTTGGCTTGCTCAGCTGGCGTGGGGCAGAAGGGAAAAGTTATTTCCTTACTCCTGTCCCCCTTCTCTCCGCCGTCGTGCCTCCCTTGCTGGCTCGCCCCGTTGGCCGGCGCGGGGCAGCGCCTTAGCCCGGCACGGCACGGCACGGCGCGGTGCGGTCCGCGGGCGGGGAGCCGCGCCGCTCCCCGCGCACCGCTCCGCGCCGCCGCTCACCCCGGCGCTCCTGGAAGATCGTCTGCGGCGAGTTTCCAGCTGAATTTGGTGATCAGATGTATTATTTTTTAATTTTTTTTTTAAGTGCATCAGGAAATTCTTATCGGGCTGACAGCATTTTTAGACTATGCAGTGCGTGGGTGAAGTGGGACTAATATTGACTTGGCCCTAATGTAGTCATCTGAGAATACATTTTTTGGTTGTTGCTGCATTCCATAAGGTTTTATCATTATTATCCATGAAGATTGTTTTCTCCGTACATGGGAAGTGACCCCAAGTATCAACTTGCCTGGGAGACACGAGTATGGGCTAAAACATTAAAATTCCGATCATCTGTTACTGTTTTTTTTCTTTTTTGTTGGGAGACAGAGCCCGTTTGCAAAAATGATACCCCAGTGAACTTGTCCAGGTTGCTCATGTTCACTCTAAATGTGAGCCCTGGAAAACTTGTGAGTTTTGCAGAGTGCCTTTGCTATTATTTCTTCTCTAATCTTGGTCAGAGCTTGCAAAGCTTCTGTCTATGCAGTAATTTTACGTAAGAAGTTTGTGTGTGGATATCTGGAGGTCCAGTCCATAGCCTGTGTGCTTTGGAGGGAAAATGAATAAAAAAAAAAGCTAATAGCCTGATTCTGTGACTGAGAGACCTAGAAGTAGAAAACAGCAGTTGAAACTCTGCTGAACTCTGATGTTTAACTCTGAAGTGGTTGTCAATATTTCTCTTCCTGATCTGTAGAACACTTAGTACGGGGAAATCTATTAAATTACCGTGTCACGTTCAAGTGCTAGTCCTTTTCATTTTTAAGCATAGGTATGAAATTTCTTCTTCCAAAAGCAGGGCCATGTATCAAATGTTCTAGGGGCACCCTAATGAACACTGAAGTTTCTTGAAATTTTATTTTAAATGAATTGAGTCCTTGGGGGTTATGCTGTTTAAGTAGAGGTAGATAAGAAAGGCAAGAAATGTAGATAGCTTTGATAAGCCAGTAAAGGTCTTGAGCTGGCCATATATCACATTTCCACCTAAAAGCTTTCTAAACATGGCTATCCTATGTGTTATGGACAATTTAATTTAATGAATCCTGGTTGCACTGGTTTTCCTGGCACACTTGGAGCTGAAGGGTCTTCACAAGCTACTTGAATGCCCGACTGAAAAGCCAAGCTGTTGTTGCTGAAGAAAGTGTTGCACCCTCTACTTCTAACAGCTGCTAACTTTAGAGTGGTTTCTGTATTTTCTCTGAATCCAATGTTTTCTAAATTAAAAAAAAAAAAAGTAAGCATAGAATGAGCTCCTCAAGCATCAAGATTTATTGTTGGGGTAACAAATGATGTTTTGCAAGTCTCTGTTCCTTCAGAATTGTCCTGTCAGAGATGCTTAATCAACTGGTAGAGAACGTAACAAAAAAAGATGAAGAATCTGTTGCCAGGTTTTTGGTTCTTACACATGTGTTCAACATGTAAAACGCTCCTGCACTCTTTGTGAGGATGATGACCGTTTTAAAGAATGTTCCTCTTTGCTGGAATTAAAACTGTGGTTTAAAAATAACAGTGAGGGAAGATGAATTAGTGGGATACCTTAAAAATAAGTCTCTGCATTGGCAATGATAATAAAATGGAGCTCACCCTTAAAATATCCAAGGACTCCACCAAGGCATTTTTTAGCGGTATTGTACTACGCTGGTGTCTTTCAGTTTGTTTTCTGAGAGAGAAGGCTCTTCCATGCTCTGCTGCTGTTGGCTTTCATTTTCTTCTCAGGGCAACAAGACGCAAGTGTGTCACTCCAACTAAAGCCTGTGCATCTCCACAGGTATTTGTAGTAAAGCCATCTCAAATGTGTAATTGGTTATCCTTTGGATGTCAGTTTTGTGTGCTTTAAAGAGCAAAGCAGATCTTCAGCTGTGGAGCTCAACTTCTGGGCTCTGGGATCTCTCTGGAGAGCCAAACTCATCGTGTTTCTTTGGGTCAGCGGCAGTGCCTGCAACAAGACGAAGTGGGTTCAAATGCTTGTCTCCTTTTTAATTTTTGTTTTTAATGGAAAGTCTCAGACTGCTTTTAAATGGTGGACTAGTGTGCACCTGGGTTGTGCAGAAGTGTAGCTTTAGGGGATGGTCCATCGTGCCTTTTTAAAGTTTCCCCACACTGAAGTTATTCCCGCATTTCTGTGTCTGTATTTTTTTTTTGGTGCCCTTAAAGTTAGCACGGAATTTATTTTTGCCTTGAACAGAAAGGCAGAATTTCTGGAAATGTAGCTTTCACCCATCCTTAGCCAGGAAGGGACTTGCTGGCAAATTAATTTAGATGTGATTTTTTTTTTTCTATTTTAAAGCTCTTAGTGGACTGTAGCCTGAATTCCTCTTGAATGTTAATGGGAGCGGAGGCTTAGCACCTTAGATCTTTGAGATTGCTCAAGTCCAGGGTGTTTGCTGGAGGGAAGTAAGTGAAACACTGTTGTATACATGCTCATATGGTGCCAGAATGAACTGATGGAAATGGGGTGTGGCCCTGATTTTACAGATAAATCGGGATTTCCGTACTCCTTTCCCAAAAGACGGCTCAAGCGTGTGCCGGCGTTAGGATACGAATGTGTTTCCGTGTCTGGTGGGGAGCTCTGCAGGCGTGAGGCTAAAACCCTGCAGAGTGGCAAAATTAAAATGCTCTTTGCTGTCCCCTTTGCTGAGGGGCTGTGCAGCTGGAATAGTAAGCTTTGGCTTTCCTATGGGTTGGGTGAGGAATGGGTGTAACGGAATTCGGAGAGGCTTCGGGAACGCATAATTGGAGCAGAATCCCATTGTATTCCCGGCACACGGGGATGGCTTGTCCTGTCACGACAAGCTGGGCACAGCAAGCTGAGGGGCTGAGGCTCAGGTAGAACTCACCCAGGCTCACTAACACACCAGCTAAAGACCTTTGGATGGGGAAGTTACAGTAAATGGTAGTTTTGGAATTTCTCCATGGTATGTAGAGGCAAGCCAACATCTAAGCCAAAGCTGTCCTTGCTAAATCAAGTCTTGCATAAGGAGTTGTGATATGCTCAAATCAGACTTTCTGCTGGCAGTGCTGTAGACAGACTTTGTCCAGATAAGGCCTTGTCTTCATTAGCAATTTAGGTCACTAACTCGGCTCTTCCTTCCAAACTGACAGAGTTGCAGACAAGGACAGGTCACATTTGATGCTGTGTCAGCTGGCTGTGGCTAAACCCCAATTCACATACTGCAGCTTGTTTTTTTCAGTGGAATTCTTTGCATAATGTGCCCCCAGCTTTTGAGGATGGGCTTGTTATACTGCTTATGCTGTGTGGCAGTCTGCAGTGTCTAATGGCAGGTAGCAGCAGATTATGGCTTCACATTCAATTTTTGCAGTTCAGATTCTTTCTCAGCGCTATTCCTTTGCTGTTTGCTCTACTAACTTCTCTGGGAGCTATATAACCTGTATAACTCATCTATTCTCACATTCATGTCAAACCTGGGTTAGGTCCTGCCCTATGTGTGAGGTTTTGTTGGTTGATTTTGTTTGATTCAATCCCATGGGACATCACTGATTAAAAAAATTTGTCTTGCTTTACTCTGTCATGATTACTGGGACCAAATTCTATTTGGTCTTCATCTAGCTGCATAAAATTAGACCTTTAAACTTTTAGGATACATCTCTGTTTACATGTACAGTAAAAGGTGTATAAATGCATTCTTTTTTTACCACTTCCCTCCATCAGCAGAGCATAGCAAGACTTCCACAAATCCAGTGGCTCAGCTAAAAGAAGCTCTCACCTTGCTGGTTTGTGTGGGTGGAAGCTATTTTTTCATGTTTTTAGGGCAGTGGACATCTTTCAGGCCCAGCATTCAGTGCCCTGATTGCTTGGAATTGTCTTCTTCTTTGAATACTTTCTGTGTTATCAATAGGAGCCTGCTTTGGCAGACAGCTCCACAAATGGAGGACTGTCTGAGGATTTGCCTCGAGTTTGTTGCTGGAATTCCTTCTCAGAAGCTTATGTCAAATGACAGCCTTTTTCTCAGGGTAGGGTCATATAGTGTTACCTCAGCGTAGTTATTCTTTATTTTTGGTTCCTGTTCTTTTTCTCATAATGGAAAATCTGTAACAGGTGGCCACAGGCACACCAGACTTTCATGCTTGGGAGCGTAAAGGACCATATGCTGTATGGTGGCATGTATGGAGATAATAAATTGTAGGAAAAAGGCAACCAGTTTATGTGAAAAGTAAGAGCTGGCCTGAATTTTTCGATTCAAACTTGGCTGAAGTAAAACCTTCTCTGTTCTCAAAGTGTGGTTGTTTTATTTTGTTGTTGTTGTTTTGCTGGCTACTAACTGGTTTCTGCTGGAAGTGAGTTTTTTTCTATTTGCAAAGAGGAATGTTCTGACATTTTTACCAGACACTCTGGGTGAGACCCAGGACCCTTGAAGTCAGTTGGACTTTTGCCACAGGCTTTAATGTGGCCAATATTTCGCTGCATGAGAACCATTTTGCTTGGTTCTGGGTAGGGTCTGTCAGAAAATAACAGGAATATTCAAGGCAAGGATTTTGTGTGAGATTTTGGACTAAATGTTTTCTTGGTCTAAAAGTGCTCAGGAAGACAGGATAATGATTGTTTAGAATAAACTTCCTTTTTAATATTCCCATATCAGCAGTGATATGTTGACCTTCAGTTTCCTTTTGTTGTACAATTTGAAGTGAAGGGTTTAGATTTTCTTTGGAATTGCCTGTTTGTGAATATATGAAATAAAAATAAGGTAATGTTGGTTGAAACTGAAATCAGCCTGGGCTGTACAACTCTGTTTACCCAGAGATTGTGCTGTTTCAGCCATGAATTAGAGTCTGCTATCTAAGGGGTATAGATGCTGAATTTCCCTGTTTTCCACTTAAATTCTGTATTCTGAATTTAAGTTCTGTATCCTGTGTCTTGGCCAAGAGAATATTTTGGGTGTTTGTTTTGTTTTTCAGAGGCTACTTAGTATCAGTCTCTAGTGTAAGGAAGGGAGAGGTGTATTTCATGAATCTATTAAAGGACTGAACATTGACAAGACATAACACTGTGTTTGGTCAGAAAATACTTTGTAAAGATCTGATAGATGCAGTTGGCTGCTAAAATATATGCTAGAACTGTTCAAATGAAAAAGTACAAGTTAAACTGGCCTAGCTGAGGTTAGCGACCATAAACCTACCCTTGTGTTTGTGGGCTTTTTTGTTTTTGTTCCCTCACATCCCATGATTGTGGGACAAATTCATTTAGCAGCTGATGATTTTGCATAGTTTTCCACTCACACAACTGCAGTCAAAAATATGGTGAGATTACTGTTAAGGTCAGAACAAAAATTAGGGAATTCATGTGCAAAGAGAGTATTTTGGGTGAGTTGTGGGGAAAAACCCTCACATTGTCAAAGGATGTATACACTGGAAAGGATGCATATACATTGCATACAAGGAGGACTTGTTGAATAAGTTTCTCTCACTGTAGCATCTTACTTAAAGAGTGTTGCAATTGCAGGCTGATAATTTCTTCCTGAAGTGCAAATTAATTAGACCTGCATCTGATCACGGGCTTGCTGTTTTGAAAAATCTTTTAATTTAGAACTCTCATCCTTTGCAAGTAACTCACTGCAAACCACAACTTTGCACTGTAAATAATCATCCACACACAGGGCCTTGTTCTTGTCCATTAGTCCTACTATATTTTTTTTGTTGCATTAGAAATTTTTTTTTACATTGAAGAAAGGTCAGATTTGGTGCTTTTGAAAGGAGCAAGTGCTCAGAGCATCTTGTAATGACTGTCTGTGGACTGGAGGGGAGGGAAGAGAGTTGAAATGGAAAATGAATTAGATTCTTAAGCTGTGGAAGGGGGAACATTCCTGCGCAGAGAAGCTACTCTGGAGATAAGTTTTAATTTCCTGAGCTGCAGTCCCTGTATAGGAACATTGGAAGACTTCCTTCCTGATCACCAAGTCAAGCCAGGGGCTGTGTTAGCGGTGTGTGTCTGTCTGTAATTGCGTGCTTGTGTCTGCATTTGCATAACTGCAGCATCAGTGCAAGCACCTGTAGGGAAGGGAGTCAGCACTGGACGTGTGCTGCCTCTCTTCAAGGTCTGGCATGTAACAGACCTGTTTGGATTTCTCTAGAGGATCTCTTTCATACTCTGTGTCTCTACATAAAAAACAAAGCCCAAGAAAAATCAAAAATGAGAAGCATTTTTAAGAGGATCTGAGTTGTGATGCAGCTTCAGGAATGGTCAAGTGGTCGAGGTGGAAGCATTGCATATTTCCAGTGTATGTGTCTCCTGTATGTGCCATGAAACAGTAAGACAGAAACAGTTCTTAGAACTGTTTCTGTCTTACTGAGGTCTCAGGGGTCTGTGATTACTCAGGCAAAACCGTGAAGCTCACTTTGAGTGATAGCCTAGTAAGCATTTGGGTAACAGATATTAGGAGAACTTTCCTGAGATGTTTGTTTACAGAAGGCACGAAGCACTTCCAGAAAAAGTGTAGGTTACCCCAAATTCTGCATTTGCAAAAATATGTTTACAGCCCCAGACCGTTTCATTTTAGCAGTTCTAGTTTCTAGTAAAACTGCTTTATTTTGCTGTTTCCGTATTTTTGTTTTATTTATTTTTATAAATAAATCCCAGCGGTTCTCCCGTAAGTCCAAGTAATATTGTGCTAAACTGAGCCATAGTATGACTTGCTCTGTGAAGCACAGATTCCCTGGAAATCCAGGTCATTGCCTGATGTCCCCAACTGAAATAAAATTGCGTGTGTCCCTCACTGCAGTTTGTGCAACAGCATCTGAATTAATGGTATCACTGAGTTTCTTTATCAGTTAACCCACTGGAATGTCAGATGTGTTGCTTAAGTTGCTGTGAGCTTTAAGTATAATAGGTTTTAATTCCACTTGTCAATAGCTCTTTCTTACAGTTATTTTTTTAAATAACCATTCATAATTAAGACTTCGCCCCAGAGCATTTATTTTGTACTACAGTGAGACAATTTGTGTCAGATTATATGATTTTAGAAAGCACTGAATTTAAATGTATTGATGGTACAAAAGGTCAGAAAATTACTTTTGATTATTTCTAAATTGTACAAGTATATTTATTGTAAAAATGAAACTTTATAGACTGTGCAGTTGTTTAACTTTTTCTATACAACTGCTTTGGAAAAAGGGTAAAAATGCCATAAACTTAAAGAGATTCTGATGGCGCTAGAGTGTTGCCAAGCAAACCATTAAAGATAAGTCAAACTGTAATTCTATAGGAATGCTATGAAATACTTTTGCATATGGACTGTAGTTGTTTTTGGGTTCCTGAAAGTGCTTGTGTGTAAAGTCAGCTGTGGAAATGTCTGGCTAGCTAAAAGCTATGATTCCTGCAGCTTGACTGTTGTGGGGAGAGGTTTTTTCCCTGTGAAAACAGTTGTAAAGTGGAACATCTGAAAAATATGTTCCATGCAAAATGGATCTTCACACACATTTATTTTGACATTTAGGTTTGATTTGAGAGAGAATATTCTGAAATAGCCATTCACAGATGGCTTGTGAGGGTTTTAGTTTTTTATATGCTTCTCTGTGTTTTTGGTTTGGGGTGCATTTTTCTGCATGTGTTTGCGGACTTGTCAATCCCCCTCTTCCCCCAGATCACATGTTTAATTTTTTATTACTTGAATTTTTTTCCCTTTTCCCAAAAGCTGGCATTAAAAAAAAGAGGAAAAAAGGAAAGAAACCCCTTCCACCCTAACCTCAAAACAATAACAAACTACCCCAAACCAACCAAAAAAACAAGCTCTCAAACCCCTGACCAGCCCCCAGTCACCACCCCAAGGTATAACTTCCTGTGATAAAAGTTCTGTCATCAGTGAGTGAAAATTTATGCATTTTGTGCATTTTGATAATACAGTAGAAAATTTTTCAGGAAGCAGGAAACTCCCTCCTTTTCAGCTTCAGCAGTAAGTGTGGGGAATCCAGAGGGCCCTGTATGCTCAGCTGGAGGAGTATGCCCGGAGAAACCTGGTGCTTGCCCAGCTGGATGTGTGAAATACACATGCTGTCTATCTGGCCACCCTTCCACGGGGCTGGGCTTGACCTTTGTAGCCTTTATTGATGGAATATCCTCTCCAGGTGGGAATCAGGAGGGAATTGTTAGAGCCTGTCTGCTTTCTTTTGAAAGTATTGAGTGAAAGCTGGTGCTGATAAATTGTGGTTGTGAAGCATGCCTGAGAAGCAGGTCCATTTGTGTGAGAGGAATAGAGACTCTTAAACAAGCACTGGTATTCTCTTCTTTGTGAAATGCCAGTGTCAAGTATCCAGGTAGTCCAAATTTATTTACAAAATGAATAATCAGTTATTCAGTGTATTCAGTTATTTTTTGTTAAAGAAACTATGTGTTGAGCTTCCTCTGAATGCCATCACTGATACATCTCTTGTTTTTGTTTCTAATCCCAGAAGAAGTTAGCTGTGTACAACAAGATGCAGGAGTCTCTGGAAGTGACCCTTCCCAGCAAGCAAGAGGAGGATGAGAAAGAGCAGCCTGCCGAGATGGAGTACCTGAACTCTCGCTGTGTCCTGTTCACTTACTTCCAGGGAGACATTGGTTCAGTGGTGGATGAACACTTCTCGAGAGCTTTGAGCCAAGCCAGTAGCTTCAGTTCAGAGACTGCCCTTTCCAAGAGCAAGGCAGGGCTGAATCCTCTCTGGAGAGGTAAGAGGGGCAGGAACTCGCTCTCTGTGGTGTGGCTTACTCAGGCTGCATTGCAGTATCACACATTGCATTGCCCCTGAAATTCTGCTTCTCTGTGGAAGTGGAAAAATCCCCTTCAAATCTCCAAGAGCTGAGGAGCTTCTTGGGTTGAGTGATCTGAGGTGTTAAAGGGGGAGAGAGCAGCCAAAGGCATGAAAGGAGCAGGCATCTCCAGCTCCTGCCATATCCTGTCTCTGCCAGGGGCTGGAGGGAGGGGGCTGCACAAACGTCTGCTGCAAGGTTGGAGGCTTTTTTTTTTTTAGCTCCAAGTGTGAAACTTGGCCTGTGAGGCAAGTGCAAAGCTGTTTGGGGTGCTGGCCTTGGATGTGAAGGAAACCTATGCAGCCTTCTCGAGTGGCTTTGCCAGGTGATCAGGATTTGTCCACGGCTGCTTTCCAGGAGAGGAGGAGCCAGTACAGGAGGGAATGGGCTGGGGGTCAAGCCCTGGCTCCTGTGGCTGCAGCCACGTGGTGTTTTCCTTTGCAGCTTGCTTGTGGGAGAGGTACAGATGATGTTATGGCTTGCTGGGTGTAAAATGGGATTGACATTACTCTGCCTCCAAGCAGGGAGCAGAAAATAGGCTCTGCAAGGCATTTATTTACTCATTGTCCTAACACAGTGAGTAACAATGCTGCCCTCTTGTTATGCACATAAATGTTTATATACTTTATATGTACTGGTGTGACAAAGAGCAGATCTTGCCAGCGACACTAGGTAGCCCTTACAGACAAGACTTCCAAACTGGAAAAAGCGTGGCAAGAAGATGCTGTTTCCATTTTGTTGGATGTGGCAGTCGGGTGTTCCTTAAGATCCCCACAGCTGCATTGTTTCCGATCACATCCTTACGTGGACTGGCAGAGGGGTGCAAACTAAGCAAATGAGTACTGGTGAGCAATGGCCTTACATTGGCTTGATGAGAGAGGTACTGGTGGGATCTGAGCAGGAACAGTGGTGTTCCTAATCAGTGATGTGGAGGTGGGACTGCATTGATGATAGCCACAGATCCTAAAGAGAGATGGGATATTTGGAAACAACTGTGAAGAGAAAAATAGCACAGAAGACCTTGCTTTCCAGAAGGATGATGACAAATCCAAGGAAGTTTAAGCAAAGGTCAGCACAAGTGGCTGGGGAGCTGGAGGAATTTATGGCTTGATCTGGGACCATTAATGTTAATGCGAAATTTTCCGTTGACTCGACTGAGAGCAGGATTGAACCTATGCTTACTAAAAAGGAGACTGGAGCATTTATAAATGGCCCAGACAGGCTATAAATGTTTTAGCAACAGGATCAGGGCAGTCCCTAGAGACCCCATGCCCACAGCAGGCCCTCTTCAGCGAGCTTCGGGATGTTCATGGGTGCAGTCGTGTGTCTTCCCTTTGGCCTCAGACATTCCCTGTTGTTTATCCCTATCCCCACTCTTTGGCTTCACAACCATCCCCAGAGGGCTCTGAAGGGGACATGAGTGGCTTGGTGTGAGGGTTCTCCAGTCATGCTGCCCCCTGACCCCATGTGCCCCATGCCCTCAGCGGGGAATGGAGGTTGGCGTGTCCTGAACATCTTCTGGGAATAAAGTAAGGAGATACGCCCTGTGCCATCCCTGCACCTGCTGCAGGGGCATGAAAATCCCTGGGAGCTGAGTGAGCTGAGGGCATTTGCTGCTCCAGAGAAGAGAAGCTGACAGGAGCTTTATCAGGCCCAAATGGATTTCTGAAATACTCCTGCTTGAAAGCAAGGTGGAAGGACCAGCACTGTCAGCTTGGTCTTCTTGTTTGTGCACAAAATCAAAGATGCTCAGTTCCAGCACATGAATGTGAGCTTGTGTCCCATTACCTAAAGAAGTTAATTTGTCGTTAGCTTGTGGTTCTTCCATAAATAACCTTTATGGGTAGTCAGAATTGTGTCAATTTCTTACTCAGAGATAAATTAGAAAGAAAAATACTTTTTCCAGTAGCGGTTTTGGGAGATGCAGGTTTCAGTGGAAAGTGTGTATGCATGAACTGGCTCCCCAGCTCACTGCTTTTTCTCCTTTATCTGAAAGGAGAGATTAGCAATGTTTTTGAATTATTTTTAATCTTTTTTTTTTTAAGGTGTTCTGATGAAAATGCAAACTCTTATTTTATTGTTAAGGTGATATTGCAGGGGTTTTTTGCTTGTTTTGACGAGGGATTTTGCTTATATAAAAAATTGCTCTTTTCAGAACAACAGATTCTATTTTTTATATCATTTGCATGTTGATCAGATTAAGCTAAAATTATTTTGAAAACTGATTTTTTCATAAAATACAGTTCTGTATGACAGGCTCAAGTGAAGTGAATATTTAATTTTAGGTGTAGCTTCCTGAAGTCTTTTGCTGGTGCTAATGATACCTTGACACTAATGTTACTTTAATGGTATTTTTATCAACATGTTTTTCCTTGCTGAAAGTGTTGGGTTGTTTTTCTGTCTTCTTTTTCTTTCCTCTTGCCTTAAGTGAGAGCTGATGTTGTACTGCAGAAAGCTCCATATGTTGTCTCCTTTCCAGTGTGTGCACTTCTGGCATGTTTTCAGTGTGTGTTGTGAACATTTGGGTTGGCCACTGTGAGCATTTGCATCAGCCACAACTTCGTGGTCCCTGGGATGTTGCCTTGTCCCTGCCTCCCTGTACTTAGGGTAGGAAATTGTGGTGACTGTAGGATCTTTCTTGGCAGACAGTTTTAGTTAAATGCCTCATGGAAGTGCAGAGATTTTTGAATTTTTATTTTTTTCTTTCTTAAAAGCAGCTGTTTCTCCATGTGCCATAGCAGCCAGGTATCCCTGAGCACTCGGGGTGGGTGAAGTTTTTCTGCACGTGTATGTGACATGGACTGAGCCTTTATGTCCAGTGACAGGAGAGAGAGTCTCTTCTCCCAGTGAGAATTGCCACACTCAGTGATGCCAGTGGGGGCTGGCCCATGGCAGTGTCAGGCAGCAGGGAGGGCTTTGTGAAACCTGCACAGGTTTGAAAAATGGAGATGACCAAACATGTTTGCTGTGGCCTGGACCTCCTGCATGACTGGTAAAGCCAAGCTGTTTTGCAATCTGGGATGAATTCACGTTGGCAGATTCAGTGGTTTAAAGTGCTCTCTCCTGTTACTAAAGCTGTCCTGCAGATACTTTGTGGTTTTCTGTGCTTTTTTGAAGTGCAGGGCTTTGGATTTAGGGCTTTTCCATGCAGATAACAGCCAGATAGTTTTCAAAAACTCGATTACAGAGGTTAATTTTCCAGAATACTGGCAGAGCATTGTCAGGCTATGCTTCTCTGTTAACTAGTGTGGAAAACAACAGAGTGGACATGAAGTTTGCTTTTTTCTTCTGTATCAGCTCTGCTGCCAACAACACAAGCCATACATACTCTCCATCTCAGTGTAATCCCTTTGTACAAGGAATGGTTTACAAACAAGCAACAATACCAATTTTGGAGGAGTGCTGTGGCTTCTGTAATATGCTTGAAGCTCTCTGTAGTCTTCAAGCATGAATTGCAATAAAAATACCTTGCTAAAAACAACCCAACCTTTTGAAGAAACCCATGGAGTGCAGCTTGCCAGATAAGTTTGCAGCCTCTGAAGGATTTTGGCACAAAGCATCCACAGTGTTTGTCCATGGTATGTTTGCAAAGTTTGTTTCCAATATCGGAAGTTAATCAGACTCAAAAACCTGCCTAAATCAAAGCCAACTGATATGTGGAAAAACTTCTATGATTTTAATAGCTTTTAAAACAGAGACACGAGTGTCCTAGTGATGCAGTTAGAAAACACTTTGAGGTTTTTTACTTTCAAAATATATTTGTGTAAGCAAAGTGCAGAGGCAGGAGTGTTTGAAGAATCTGTTCATTCTCAATGGTGTCTTCACCCAAGTCTCATTCCAGCTGCTTATTAAACAAAAGGTGATTTAAAAAAAAATAAAGTACTTTTACAAAAGTTATGAGGAACAGAGGATTCCTCGCCTCATCAAATACTAAACTTCCCTGGCTTTATTTCTCCATAGGCTATTTTTATGACTGTTCTTTCATCAGAGGTGAAGTTCTGTATTTTTATGTTTCCATCTTTGACAAAAAAAAAGTCCTATTGGAGCTGAGAAATATTGCATGAAGCAGTACTTTCTAGCATGAGCTGGCAAGAGGATTGTGAGAATGGAGAAGCCAAGACTTTGCTACACATCAAAAACACTAAGTGCTCCTTCAAAAGAGGAATTTTTAGAATGTGATTTCATAATGTAGAGATATTGGAATCCATTTAAATATAATCTGAGCCCTAGCTGTAAGAAGCAGCAAGTCTTTTAGTTCTGACAAAAACCTTTTTGAGTTACATAGATAGTTCTGCATGTATGATCCTATTGAGTAGAGGGCATCATAATATATTCTGTGAAGGAGTAACATAAGCTGTGTTAGATATGACCTTTATCCCATCAAAGCATGCAATTAGTTTGAGAAAATCAGGTATTCTTTTAGCCAAATGTTTCCTGTTCTGTAGTGTGAGCTGGTTGTCTTTCCTCTGAAGCATTTGCAGCCACAACAGCTGCATTTCTAAATGATGTGCTCTAGTCTGAGCAGGAGTTAGCATCTGCTCACAATTTCTGTACCAAGATCCTGACAGGGCTCTGACTCTACAACCTGAAGAAGAAAAATCTTCTTGGGGGAGGATCTTATGTATGTAGAAATCTGATGGGAGGGAATGAAGATGGGGGAGCCAGGCTCCCTTCAGCAATGTTTGCTGACAGAACAGGAGGCACTAGGCCGAGATTAGAAAACAGGAAATTCCATCTGAATACAAGAAAACTTTTTGTTTTGTTGGATTTTTTAGATTGCTTGTTGCTTTTGGGGATTTTTTTTTTCAAAGGCTGCATAGTCTGGAGCTCACTCAAAATCTGACTGGACGTGGTCCTGGACAACTGCTCCAGGTGACCCCACTTGAACAGGGGAATTGGACTAGACAACCTTCCTCCCTCAAATGTCCCGTGATTCTGTATTTACTGAGGAAGCTTGAGTTCAGCGTTGCAAACTTCAGAGAGCAGCAAATCACTGTGGGGTTTTTGTCCTGGAATGTGTTGTTCGCCTTCAGTCACACTTCACTTTTTTCCTCCCCACCAGAAAGCTCAACAATTTCAAGCCAAAGGAGCGGCTTCCCAACCTCGTTCTGGACCAGCTCTTACCAGCCTCCTCCTCCACCCTGCTTAAGCGGAGTGCACCCCGATTTCCCCGTGACTGCACCAGGCACCTTCCCAACACCAGATCCCAGCAGCTGGCCGGGACACGGCCTCCACCAGACTGCCCCAGCTCCTCCCCCCACCGCCTCCGAGTCCTGGCACTACCCCTTAGCGTCTCAGGTGAGCCCCTCGTACGCACACATGCACGATGTGTACGTGCACCGCCACCACCCTCACCCCCACGTGCACCACCACCACCACCACCATCCCCACGCCGGCTCGCACCGCGACCCGCGCTACGGCTCGCTGCTGGTGCCCTCGGTGCGCGCCGCCAGGATTCCCTCTGCCCAGTGTGACGGGACGAAGGCCGAGCCCGCGGCCGCCGCCGGCGCTACCTCAGCCTGGGCCGGAGCCTTCCATGGAACAGTGGACATCGTGCCGAGCTTTGGCTTTGATACAGGTAAGATGGTTTTGTTGTTGTCGTTGTCGTCGACTGCGACTTGTTTTAGCAGAGGCGTGACCTGATTCCCACAAATATAGGAATCCCTCCTGTAATGGTTGTCAGGGCAGCTCTTCCTGACTTCTGCTGAGAGACCTTTATCTGCCTCGGTCCCATTCAAGCCAGATGACACAATCTGCGTTTTTTGTTTCTTTTTATTTAAATATTGTGGGAAAATATTAATTATGCTTCCATGGGGAAGTTCGCAGCTTGTTCAGCTAGTTCATATGTGTGTCCCCCAATATTTAGCGCCAATAAACTATTAACTTGCAGTATATGAGGACTGCATCTTGAGGTGGAATGGCACAGCATTTCCTTCCTGTGTAGTATCTAGGTGTCCCGTGGAGAATACAGGTGCTGATTGAGCTGTGCTTGCCATCAAATGAAATATCTTTCTATAGCGCGTAGGCAGAGGTATGTGAGTTAAATTCATTTTACTGCAGGGTCTGTAGTCTGAACTGCAGACCACGAACTCCATCTGTGTCTGTGAGCTTTGAGTGGCAGTCTCTTGTCTCAGTATCAGAAGCAGTCTGGCAGCCCTCAGGGTTTGCAGTTTCTTGCTGTCAGGTGACAGACAGTTCCCAGTGCAGCCATCCTGGAGCTCATGGGCCCCCTGAGGTCTCCTTTTTGGTTTGATATTTATCTCACCAGCAGCAATCCTTGCAGATTAGTACTTTTTAAAGGCAGTATGTTGTCTGATTAAGGAAACACTAGGTTTGTATCTTTATTCCCTTTTCCTCAAAGTATCTATTTGTCTCCGTTTTTGATAGTGCTCTCTGACTGGCTCAATGCGTGAGAACCACTTCTTTGTCTTGATTAGTGGGCAGGGGAGCAAAGAATTGATGGGGGAAAAAAGGCTGTTTCTTAAAGATGAAATACTATGAACCTAATTCAAATCTGTCTCCTCCCTTTAAAGCAACTGGGAACCAGTAATCTCCTCTAAATACTATGCCATTTGCTGTCTTGATGGCAATAAAACTAAGAAAAAGCTTATCAGGATTCTTAACAGTGGACAATTTATATATAAATCACATTTCTAGCTAAACCAGCAAATCAAGAATAATTATGTTTTATGCTTTTGCCTACAAAATGATAAACTAACCAGACTGGGATCTTGAGATTTTTTCCTTTGTGACAAACCCCATAAAGGGAGTTAGCTGCCTTCTCTGAAGCATGAGCAGACTGTCACTGCCACTGGTGTAAGGGACAAGCCCCCTGGACCCAGCCCCACCTGCAGAGCCCTGGTATTTGGTTTAACCTTTTGGGGGTGGAACAGAGAACTGTGTAAGGAATTAGTCAGGAGAAACCACTGCCTGGCTTAGGTACAAGTCCAGCCTAGACTGTGAGGTCTTTCTCTTTAAGAGCAAGTACCTCAAAAAGGACTGGGTCCTAGCACTGCCTTAGAGAACAAACACACCTTTGGCTTGGTGCTGGCTGCTCCTCGTGAAAATCCCTGTGGATGGGTACAGTTGGGTGCTAATTTTGTCAGGATCCTGATTTGGCAGTGCCTTGTATGTTACTTGGTTGCTCAGCATGGGAGACAGTGGAAAAGATCGGAACTGTTCACTTCTGACCTATGCCTGATTGTGTAGGTTTTAGTCCATGAGTTCCTGTGGAGAAAAAGAAAGAGGGGAAACGTGTGACTGGTTTGAAGAAGCACAGGATCTCAGCAGACCAATGGCTCACTATTTGAGACTGTTGAAAAGGGTCACACACTGAAACATAACAGCAAAACCATACTAGGCAGCCCTAGTTTTGGAAACAAGGGTGCAAGCAATGAAACACAGCAGGTGGTGGAAACCTGTGACATTACAATTATTTGCTCTCTTGCCCTGCACACTCCTGTGCTTTCAAAGCAGAGACTTGCTGGGAAGGGCAGGAAGGCTGAGCTCCCTTTTCAGCCTTGCCTACAGCTTGTGCAGTTGAGACAAATGCTTTGGTTACAGGCACTCGAGGCATGGAGAGAAGAGGGACCCTTAATTGCCTCAGGGTTTTGTGTGCACATCCAGCAGAATCATCCCAGGGAAAGTGTGGGGAGAGGAGAGGGTTGCTGGAGTACCACATGGAGTCACATCCAGCACCTGCTTCATGTGCACTTCAGGGAAAGCAGATTATACTGGATAAATCTCCACATCACACAGCATTTCATTGCATTTAACTCCAATGTCAAAGAGCTATCTCAAGAGAGAGGCTACAAACTCAAGAGCCTGGAAGAGTGAACTGGCTTTTAGTGACATAAAGTGCTTTCTCCAGAGTGAGGTAAGGGCATAGTGGCAAGAATATGTCAGTTCTGAAAGTGTTGGCTCATATATCCCTGGAGAAAATAACCTGTGGGGCTGTCACTGTATCAGATTCCATGAGCTTCAGGTGATTTTTGTTAAAAAAGTTCATTTGGTCTGTACCTGGACATTGCCTTTTGGAGTCCTTCACTTACAAACTGATTCTCCCTCTTCTTACCGTGGGCCACATTTCTTGTGCTACTGTCACATGGATTATAGGAACATCTGCAAAATTCCTCATGCTAAATTATGTGGAATGGTAGTGTTGGGATCAGGGCAGGCTGGCTGTAATCTTACCCTCTCCCAGCTACATTGTTGCATCTCTGCCATGCCACGCCAAATAATCGATCCTCAAGAATGGATGATGCTGAATCACTTCAGAGGTTAAGAGGAGGTTCCCACTGCATGCACGGTGTAGTTTGGGAATTTATGGTTCAGAACACATTGTGTGGGACAGCAGCACAGCGCCCTTCACAGAGCTGACAAACTATTGATCTGTCTGGCACATCTGTTTGAGCTTACATGGTCCTGTTTTAGGGGATGAAGAAGGATTTAGCTACCTGATTGCCGTTAAATGTGGCTTAATCCTCACGTTGTAGGCTGCAAATTAACCCTTTTAGAAGCTTCTGTATCAGTCCAAGTGCAATTAAAGAAAGTGCTGGTCTGTGTCAAGAGCTGTTAATACCTGCTAGGTTTGTGTCTGCTGATGTGTAGTGTCTTTCCAAAGTGCACCAGCTACAATGCTCAATGGAAGAGTACATTTCGTGTCAAGCTTTGATATAAACATGTTGGAATAAGCACACATTGTTTGGATTTAGGGCTCAGTTCCTTGCCCTACTGGTGTCCAGCAAAGCAAGGTTGGGCTGTCACCAGCTTTGCCTGCAGCTCAGAGCTGTATTTTTTATCCAGTGTCACCACTAAAGCTTCCTGCTTGTGCTTAAGTCACATCCAGCACTGAAGATCAGGGGCTGGGGAGGGGAATTTGTGTCTCTGTGTTGCTGGTGGTTGTAGCCATCAGTGCTTCCCTCGGGAGCAGGGTGGGAGGTGTCCTGCACCCCAGGCCCTTCAGGTGAGTGTGGGGTTTGGCTGTGCTGCAGGCAGTCCATGGGGAGGAGAGCAGAGCAGCTTGCCTTGCCACTGCAGAGCCTAGGAGGATATCCTGTCCTGCTGTGGGACAGATGTGCTGGAGGAGGCTTCCTGCAGCCCCAGCACACTGAAAGCAAAGCAGGACTTTGACATGAGTGATGGCTGTAAATCTATTAAAATTGAGGTGTGCGTTCTTCATCCTGTAAAGTTATGCACATTGTGATGAATAACTTCAAATTTAGGTGAATTAATCAGCATCCTTTAGTCCTGGTTTACTGTGGAAAATCCCCTTTTGGAAATGCCTCTATGTCAGTGTGATACATTGAATTTGGAGTTTGAGGGGCCAATCCAATCCCTTCTGTTCATTTGTCTCTGTTCACACCCATCCCACAAGTTTGTCACAACTCATTAAATTTGCCTAGATGTTCCCACAGAACCTGCATAATGTTTGTGTGGCAATTAGCTCTAATGTTGGTGGCCCAGGGAAGGGGGATTTGCTAGAGTGGCAGTGCGGGTGAGGATTCCTTGCTAAAAGAAAAGCATGTGGAAGCTCTGGGTGAGTAGCCAGACTTGGATTCTGTGTTAGGACTGTAAATGGCCTTGCCTTGAGGGAGATAGGAATATAATGAGGAGAAGGCATGGAAAGTGTTCCACATTCAGTTTGGTAAATAGGACAGCTTTGGTTTTTTGGATTGTTTTCTCTTGCTGTTTAGAGTGTGTAGCTATACCTGAAACCTCCATGTTACAGTTGTTTGTGCCTTGCAAAGGCGCCTGTCTAGGCAGGTGCCTGTTCAGCTAGTTATTCCCTTTCTACCACTTGCTGCTGTCAGGTGGAAGATCTCTTAAACATTTTTTTAAGCTGCTAGGAGCCATATAACCTGTTTCTCTTCTTACAGGCTTCCATCCTAGGCAGGTGCCTGTTCAGCTATTCCCTTTCTACCACTTGCTGCTGTCAGGTGGAAGATCTCTTAAACATTTTAATGTGTGTCTTTTTTTAAGCTGCTAGGAGCCATATAACCTGTTTCTCTTCTTACAGGCTTCCATGGCCTCTGGTGTCCTTTAGTGGTCCACTGGTGAACTTAAATGGCTTCTTTATGCTCTGAAAGTTTTCTGCTGACTTCTTTTGGGGGGGTCATCTTTGTTTAAACAAATTGTAAGCACCAAGGGAAAAATAGCCCCAGATTGTCATCACTAGCTTTGAGGGAGCAGTTCATTATGACTGTCTGTGTATGATGCTGCCAGGGAAACAAATAGCTCTTAAGCAACAAGGAGACATCTTCATTGAATAAAGAGCTTCTGAACATGTTTTTATAGGCATGCTCTAGCTGAGGGATATCCCAGTTTTTCCAATCTGCACAAACAGGTACAAGTACATGTGAAATGGAGCAGAAAGCACTAAACAAGGTTTTGGTGCAGCACACCCCTGGGCTCTGCTTTCCCTTTCTCTTCACTGCTGGACACACAAGTGTTTGTACCCTGCTTGGGAATCCTCACAAGGATAGAGCAATATGCTCTCATTTTCTATGTGAGTGCTAATTGCTTTGCAGCTCAGCTCTGAAGTGTTGATCATCATTAAATATTTAACTGCTTATAATTTTAAAGCAAGGAGGTAGTTGTCAGATCTGAACCCTCCATGCCTGCCTGTAAGTTTTCTGAAAACTTATGGGTCGTCCTTCATATTCACTGTGTCCAGATCTGAACCCTCCATCCATGCCTGCTTGTAAGTTTTCTGAAAACTTATGGGTCGTCCTTCATATTCACTGTGTGATTTGATTTGGAGATGAGATCCATGCCTAACACATGGTTAAACTCAAATGAACACGGAGCTCTGGTGGTTACAACATCACAAAGGTCCAGAGCTGCACCTATTTACATTAGTGGTGAAATTAACCCTCAATTCGTAGCAAGTCAGGTGCCTTGGTACATTGCAGAGCAGGAATGATGACTTGTAGTGGGAAATGTACCTTCATTTCATGGAATGTGATTTACTTGCCTCAAAACATCAAAGGGCAGGTTTTAAATCATTGAGACTTGAGTGCCTCACTGCCTCTGAAAATACGTGCCTGTGACTCTGTTCTTTACTTTCCCTATAAATGAGCAAGAATGTATCTTCTTTAAGAAATTTAATCTGCACCTGCCCTTCTATTGTCTGGATTTGTGGTTTATGCCCTGTTAGGTGTGAATAGAGAGATTGGATCCCTCTGAAGCAGCGAAATCCCAGATTATAATGCAGGTTCCAAGTCTATAATGCTAGAGCCACAACAAAAATATGTGCCTGTATCTCTGTCCTTTACTTTCCCTATAAATGAGCAAGAATATATCTTTTGAGAAATTTAATCTGCACCTGCCCTTCTATTGTCTGGATTTGTGGTTTATGCCCTGTTAGGTGTGAATAGAGAGATTGGATCCCTCTGAAGCAGCGAAATCCCAGATTATAATGCAGGTTCCAAGTCTATAATGCTAGAGCCACAACATAGCACCACATTTATTAGATAGTCCTCACTTTTTTATAAAGGAAAATGTTAGAGGAGCTCATAACAAATGCAAGCTGAAAACCATTAATTTTTCCCATGTGGAAGCACTAGCCATTCTTGGCTGGAAATCTTGCACTCTGTAGGTGAAATTATTTGGGATTTTTTGCCTGCTGCAGGACCATTTCCCCTTTCTCCTCTGCGAGGTGAAATGCCACAGAAACTGAAATTCTGAAGTGTCCCAGGCATTTTCTAGAGGAGATGGTGTCTATGGCTGGACCCTGCCTGGAAGTATTGCTCTGCTGCCTACTGGATAATTGATGCAGACCTTTATGGAGGATTTTTCACTCCATGCCATGTTCCACATGAGCTCAAGCCAAGGAAGCGCATGCAGGAATTTTATCACCATTTCTGAAATGCTTGAGCCAGAATCAAACTTCAATATGGTTTAATTTTACCCCTCATAAAATAAAAGTTTTAGAGCAGTAACACTGTTGCTAACAAGTCCTTTAAACTGTTAAATTGTCATTTGTTTTTTTTTCTTTTTAATTTTTTTTTAAATTCAAAACTTGTTTTTCATTACTTCACTTGCTTGGGGAAGGGGAAGAAGAAACCATCTGATTTATTAAGTAATATTTATTAATTATTTTCCTTTTCTTTTCTGAACACTGTTGCTAACAAATCCTTTAAACTGTTAAATTGTCATTTGTTTTTTTTTCTTTTTAATTTTTTTTTAAATTCAAAACTTGTTTTTCATTACTTCACTTGCTTGGGGAAGGGGAAGAAGAAACCATCTGATTTATTAAGTAATATTTATTAATTATTTTCCTTTTCTTTTCTGACATGTAGGTCTACAGCATCAGGACAAGAGCAAGGAAACTGCTTGGTTCTGAGGTGCAGAGAAATTAAGACCAGCTAGAGCTGGAGTCAGCGGAGCTGGGTGGGTGATACAGCAGTGGTTGACTCCTTCTGCGTGGAGCAAAGGACACACATGAAGATGAAGAGCCAGCTATTCTGGTTTTGCTATTGAGCCTTTTATTTGTAAGGCCGTTTATGGGTCCCACAGTGTTGGAAAAAAAAACCAGAAACCTAACTTTTCTTTCTTTCCTCATCTGAGCCTGCTGCAGCTGGGCAACCTAACTCCTTTCTGCTCCTTTAACAGTGTTTCGTTTTGTTCAGCTTGATATTTTTATGAACAGTCTCAATAGTCAGGAAAAAGACTCTCCCTTGACTACAGTGCGCCTTCTTTCAGGAATACAGTATTTTGTAGCTCTTTGTGCATCTATTTTTGTAGAAATACAGAAAGTTTGGGTAAGGATTGATGGGCTATTTTAGGATGACATATTTTTTTAAAAAAAATTGTAAAATTGTTAAGTTCTGTTTAAAGAACTTGCTCTCAGAGAAGCACTGGCAAAAATGTATAAAATGCTATTTTTAGATGTCTGTGATGTGTTTGTGCATTTTGGATTTTTTTGTTACCTCAAATGTCTATCTTTCTTTTCTTTTTAAAGAGCTAAACTCCTTTGTTTCCACATTACTAGATTCTGATGATTTTGTCCTTTTGTTCTAGCTTAAGCAAGTATAATTCACACCTGAAGTTTCAGCCAAATATTTTTTTCCTGGTGTTAGATTGTAGTAAAAGTGTTTCTGTTTTTCTTGCTTCTGAAGGTGGCTTTGTGCTGTGCTGACTGTCAGAAGCTTGCAAACACCTTTAGCATAGAGCAAAGCTTGAGGTTACAGCAACTGCATTTCCCACTCATCCATTCTTTCAAAATGGACCAAATACTCTTAAATCAGACACGAATATGGGCCTCATCTATGATCCATTGAAGCTGTTGAACACAGTTCCCTGTGGGTTATGGTGCTCATAAATACCAGTAAAATCTTGCAGGCAGGACTTTCAGCTAAGCCATTTCAAGGTGGTTACTTACAACATCAATATTCAGGGAAAATTAACAACAACAAAAAAATAAATCCAGGTTTATAAAAATGTGTGGCTTGTGGAAACAAAAGGTTTTCAAGTGGCCTGAGCAGCTCAAGGAGAGCAGAAGAAGTAATGTTGAGTTCAGGGCTGGGCTGCACCCTGGGGCTCGCAGGACGCCAGCTGCAGCGCTGCATTTCGTAACCAGCCAGGCCTGCATGCACTGGGGCCTGGCAACAGCAGCGTGGCCACGTGGAGCCACAGCCCCTGTGCTTTGGAACCCCCCTGGCCTGGGCTCTGACTTGGCAATAAAGGCTTTGGTTGGAGCCAAGGTGGGCACCATCAAATCCTGAGCGAGGGCGGCCAGGCCGGAGCTGGGTCGATCTCTGTGCCCAGCCTTGGGGAGTCAGCGAGGGCCACCGTGGCTAAGGTGGGACTGAGGGAAGCCCACGGTCAGGACCTGGGTTGCTGGATCCTGGCTATTGCTTGGAGATGTTCCCTTTCTGCTCTGTGCACCCAGGGTCCCTCTGTAGTATTTCCTAAGGCTGTTACAAAGCATTGTATTTCTGTCACCGCTGCTCTCAGACATCCCTGTTTGAAAGACACGCTGGCCAAGTGGAAAAACCAAAATACAAACACATGGCTGAGATAAGAAGGAGTTTAATTTTAAGGCACTGAGCATTGTAAATGTAGTTTTGTCAGGTGGAAACCACATGGATCTGTGTGTGAAAAGGGGAGGGGGGTGTTGGGAAGTGCCTGCCACTCCGAGGTTCCCTGCACTGCTGCTTCCCTCCAGGCTGTTTGAACTTGATCCTGTGAGGTGTTGAGCATTCTCCCTTGTCAAGGGAGGGGGCTTGACATGCTGGCAATGGAGGCATTAGGATTATATCACAATTTGGCAAGACCCTTAAGTCTCTGGCTTGCTGATTTGAAGTTTGAGATGGTGTATAAATGCTGAATGGACTATCCTTAAATATTGCTTTAAAGTAATAAGGTTGTAGTCTCTGTGTTTGGATGATGAATTAAATGTGGTGGGGTTTTTTTCCTCATCTTTGTAGTCCATCAGTATTTCCTTCTCTCAATAAATTTCACTCTTATGACAGTTCTCTATATTATTGCTGCTCTGGTGGAGCTAGCTCCTCAATTTGTCAATAAATTCATAATGCAGTGGTAAAACTGTGTGGGAGGGAATGGAGTGCCAGCTGCTGCAGGTCACTTTCTTATCAGGACAGTACAGTACAGGAAATATCTCAAGAAAAAGAGTTCTGGCTTAGGAATGTTGATAGTATTTGAAATACTGGGAGGAAAAAAAAATCTTAAGCTTTTTTTTTTTTTCATTTTTTTTCCCCTTGGACTTGGCAAAATTGGAAATTAAAGTGATGGGTGTGTCCTCTTTGAACTTTAAGGATGGAGAGTTTGGGTGGCAGGGGAAGAAAAAGAAAAGACAGCATTTCTTTTTGAGGTGTTTGACTTCCTGAAATAGTTTAAAGCCTAACAAGAGCAGTCTGCTCACTGCCTTCCCCTTCACAAGCTCATAGTATGGGGGACCTCCTCTGGTTCCCTATAGATGTCAGAGCAAAACAGGACAGGAACAAAACAGGCCCACAGTTTACTCTGGAATTTCTTTCTGGATTGTATCTCTAGTTGGTTGGGGGGATGAAGAAGTGGGGAAGCTGTTACCTCTTCACCTCCAGGACTGCTGTTCTGCACAGAGTTTCTGCTGCTGAACCTGGGACTGAGCTGGTGGAACTTCTGCAAGCTCTGGATGACAAGTGCCAATGAAAACCTGCTGTTGTCTGTAGCCATTCATGCACCAATCTGTCAACTTCAAAAGTGAAATAAATTCTTCTTTTCCCCTCAGTCACTAATTGTCCCCTGTGCTAACAAGTGAGAAAGGAAAAGCCTAAGTGTGAAGCAGTAGCCTGACTTCTACAAATCGAGGGATGGAAAAGGAAAAACAAAACAAACCTACCCTTCCTTGTGACAAACTTTTCAGTTAAATTCAGCAGATTTCCTTCTCTCCCTCTTTCCCATACACGCACTCTTACACACACGCACAGAAGTGCTTATGAGAAGCAGATGCTGCCATGGTTTTGCTCTTGGAAGAGGAGAGGAGCACTCGCCTGCAGTGGTGGGGAATCCATGGCAGCCAGAAGGAGCAGAAAGGTTGAGCCTGCTTGTGTTTCTGCAGATAGGAAAAAAAAAGGCCCTTGAAATCAGGTTACAGATAAGTTGTGTGTCTTAATGCATTACTAAAGGAGTTGTTTCATTCTTTTTATGTGTGGTGTGTTCTGATGCTGTCCCAAGAAAGTGGATGATTCATTTTGAGAGGGCTTATAAAACATGTTGTACTCTGTCACTGTTTCTGGGAGAACATAGGGAAATTATTGTTTTATTTCAAGAAACTCAAAATACTGACCTCCTTAAAGTTGTCCAGGATTTTATTTTATTCCTGTTAATGTTGAGAAATCTGACATCAATTTTTATGTCTTCATTTGAAGACTGGAAGGGTTGAAGTTGTGCACCAGTTTTTCAGAGGCAGATGCCAGTTTTTTCCAATGGCCCATTTCCATCCCAACAAGAAGATGGAATAATGCAGCCGCTGACTGCCCAGGAGATTGGATTTCTGGAATTTCTGGAGAGCTGAATAAGCTGCACTTGGCAACAGTAAAATGGACTCTGTTCTGATTCCTTCCCTCACCAGACACACAAGTTCAGGTGGTCCTCAGTGAGTGACAGATTTGTCTCAATCATCCACACCTGCATCAAAACGCTTCTGAGAACAGATCTCTCATCACAGCGTTCAGACAGGGAAGGGAATGTCACATTTCCTCCAACCTGCCCTTAGGATTGCCTTGCCTCACCCAGCCTTTCTGCTTTCAGGCTGTTACATAGGTCTTGCTGTCCCTCTCCCACAATTCTTCATGTGTATGGATATATTTTTTATGCAGATATATTTATACACGTGCACAGGTGTAGCTGTACCTGTTCCTTCCATTCCACTCTCGTGCCTCAAATGCATGTCCTTTGGAAATGAAGTGAATGACTTCATCAAATCTCATATGAGATGGAAAATGTAGGCATTTTATTGCATTCTCTGTTAACTCAGGAGTGATTTTTTTCCCTACTTGTTAAAAAACACGAACACAACAAAAGCACATTAATAAAAACCTTTCAACTCACAGGATTTGTATCTATGAAGATGATAATGAAATCAGCAGTTATGTAGAGAGGTGCAATATATTGTGTTTCAGCAGACAAGCCTATCTCTAAATATCATTATTTTAATTAATTTCAGGTACAAGCTTTTGCTCCATATCAATGGACCAGCACCATATATATTTCCTTATAAACAATTTAGAAATACATATATTTTTCAAGTGGAATTCTTGGTTTTATTATGTCAGCCTTTGAGCTTCTGAAGGGTATTTGGATGATAAATATTGTTTGCGTGTGGGTTTTAAAAAAAAGTTGATGCATGTTGTTTGGAACTAAAATCTCATGTAAAGAGGGAAAGTATTTAAAAATAAATACTGCTTTTACATATTAGCCCTATGGGCACAATCTGAGAGTTGTGGTGCAGGAAGATGCCCCTCTAAAAAATGAGGTTCTCTTGCCTGAGTGAGTTCAAAATCCAGGAGAGGCAGGAGGGGTCCTGGAAAGGTTGAGCTGGTGGAGCTGAGAGCAGAGATGATCCTCTCCAGAACTGTGTGTACATGGTTGGGCAGTCACTGCTCAATACATTAAATTTAGGCTGTGTTAGCAGGTTTATACTTACGGGGTGAACTGGGGAACTGTAGATGTCCCTGGAAAGCCGTATTTTAGCCCCTTTAGCCATGTTTTAGCTGCCCTTGGTCTGCTCAGTGCCTGTGACCCTCTCCCAGTTCTTGCTCTGCAGTCTCCATGCCACCCTAGTGGGACCTCTGAAAGCTGGGCTGGAGTTCCCTGGGAAATGCACCTTTTTTTCTTTATTATTTTTTTTTCAGCTCCCAGTAAAGAAAATTTAGGGATGGGGGTCATTAAAACACTCCAGTTATTTAATGCACCTGCTCAAGGGCTCAAGCCTCCAATATAAATCAGCTGTGCACTGTGGCTGTTTGCCTACAGAAGCTTGAATGCTGGTTCCTCCTCTTGGTGGCCTTGGAAAGCTTCAGTGGCTTTGAGATGGTTGGGACCAGCCTTGGAATGCCTGAATTGCAGTCCAGGAGTGGCCTGGGCTAGTCCAGCCTTGATTCTGGTGAGCTGGGGCTCAGGTATGTGGTACCTATAGACAAGCAGTGTTTATAGGAGTTTGAGGTTTACAGTAATGAGTGAAGAATCTGCAGAACTGTGCTGCACTTGCCCTGCTGGCTCTTTGTAGCTGTTGTTTAAAACCATCAGTCAAATCAGGGTCCCTCTCTTCCCCCCACCTCTTTTCCCACCTTGCTTCCCTCAAAACTCCATTGAAATTTTTGCCCCTCTGATCAAAACTGATGGAGGGGTTTGTGGGGGTCTTTGTATAAAGAAAAGTGTCACTGTTTATTACTGAATAAATAATTTAATGTGAATTTTATTGTTACATTTTTATGTAGCATTTTCAGTTTGGTCTGTATTTCTCAACAATTAGCTAATTCTTTCTTTTTATTATGCAACTGAAGAACTCATAAATCTCTGTTAATTTATGCATCCTGAGATTCTATTCTTTGCATGAGATTAATAAGAGCCAAGGATTTGTCTTCTGTTGAAAATGTTGTAAAACAAGTGTTCTAAACTGGTTCTGTACTAAAATTAAACAGAGCAAAAGCATTGCATTGAAGGGATTTCAAGCAGAGATCTCATGAAGACACAGGCTTGCCTTCTCAGACACTGTCAAGTGCTTGTGCTACAATGTCTTCTTTAATTCTTAACATCTTTTTTTAAATTACATTAACGCCATTTTACAATCAGACCTAGTGGAATCACAACCTGAGACTTCTTAGTATAAGACCCTTTTTTAATTCTTTTGTTTCCTGGCAGTTTTGACAGTCATCAGACAGATTTTCCATGCAATTTATTTACCTCAAATTGATTTTTTTTGGCAAAGTTCAGTAATTCCCGCTAAGGAGGTAACTGCCCTTGCTAAAATTATTTTACAACTATTTAATTAAGAAATATTTGCCTGTCTGTCTTCTGGCTCGAGGGCTGAAGGTTTGGTGTTTTGGTCACAGATACATCATTTACTGCTCCAGCAGTGGGGAGGAAAAAAAACCTCCAAGCTTTGGCCAAGCACTCAGCTTTTGAAAAATTGCCACTTGCACGCAATCAGCAGGGAGCTGTTAAGAATTTAGTTGCAAAACCCTCTGAAGATCCTGACCATATGGGATGTACTCTGTTTCAGAGCAGAGGGAGATGAGCAGGATTTTTCCCATACGTCCTGCTCCGAGCCCTTTTTCCCGGACCAGACAGCAAGCAGGGCACTTTGTGCAGAGTCACTGTGTTGTTCTTTCTCAGGCTGTGAGGAAGGGATGGAGAGAGCTGGCAGCCAAAAACTCCAGGAAAGGGAGCCCAGGAAAGGAAGAGAAAGGGTTCAAAAATCTTTGTGTAGGAGAGAATGGGCTTGAGAGCTCTTGGGACAGGAACAGTGTCAATAGTGGAGATGAAGATGGGATGCGGACTGCTGGAAAATAAGCAAATTATGCCTCATGATGAATGATCTAGAGTGGGATGCGGCAGCTATCAAAAAATACCAGAATAATGTGAGGACGTAGAAATTTGGAAGGACATAGGATAAACATTGCAGAAAATGCCTTTCTTTGAAGTAAGGTGTGGTTTTAGTCAGTGAGAAGAGGCATGGCATCCCTTTACTTTAAGACAACCACCCAGAGAGAAATGTACTTTAGGAAGCAGGAGGGTGTTAAGCTGGGAAACGAGATGCCTGAAGTGCTTTTTGTTCTCCCTGTAACTTCTGCTCTTGCCAGGGCTGGTCTCCAGCTGCATTGCCCCACACCTGGCTTGCCAGGTGCTCACAGGGGTTATTTCTATGCTCTCATTGCATCAAGAATTGAAAGCAGGGGAAGTGATACATTATTTTGTGACTGATTTTATTCATGACAATTCGCGTCCTCCATTAGTGTGAATCACTGG